CCCTAACCAAAACCTCACTTTCAGAGAGATGTGGGTCCTCTGTCTCCAGGGTCCACACCCTAGATTTTAACACTGCATTCTTACTATAACATGCCCTACAATGGCTGCATCCCTTTTGAGCAACCTCCAAAATCCACATTTACACAGTAGGTAAATTAGGGACAACTACATTATCAAAATACTCTCAGGGTTCCTATAAATGGCAGCTCTCCTGTTGTATTCACATGTTTGTTTACAGACTAACAAATGTGTTGGCAAGTCCCTGGTTAGATGCACTGCACTTGCTGGTATTGAGATGAACACATCGATTTTTCACCAAATCGATGAAGCCATGCTCTGCAATGACAATAATAATGTGATCTGACCCTAACGTTTTTTCTATGGAAGACACATGTTGCATAAAGCGAGGCATACTTCTGCTTTGTGTGTGTGTATATGGGGAGATGGGAGGACTGACGGAAGTTGAACCAGTTGGTTCTAGATGAACCAATTATCTGGTAAATGCAAACAACCAGAGTTGGAAGGCACTTGACTGGCCACCAGACCAACTCTGCTGTCACTGGCATGCCCTCTCCACCCTGATTCCTTTAGGTCATTGCCCTGGATCTGCTTGAAGTCCTCCTGTGCCGGGGAATTTACTGTCTCCAAGGTAGCACATTCCCTGTGTAGATGGTATTAATCAGTACTCCTTCTGTTAGTGCGGCCTAAAGTATGCTTTTCTGTTACTTCTACCTTTGAGGCTGATCATCCCGCCAGGAACAATACAGAGCCAGACAACTTCCTGGAGTCCAAGACCAGATAAAAAAGTAGGACAGGTGCCCTTGGGTTCTGTTCTGTGTGGGCCCTGTGGCAAGTCTCTGGACAAGATCTATTCCAGGCCCTGACTTCTGCCTTCCTCTGAATGGCACAAGCAGTTGAATACTGCATGGAGTGTCTAATGCTGATGGGGAGGGTCCTTGGGTCCTTGGGTCCTTGTGTGCTTACCCCTCCCTTTTTGATGATTTACACCACTGCACCGTACTGATCCAGGCTGGGGGCAGGTGCGTTGGAGATAGGCTGGTCAAGGAGGTGACAATGATTCAGAGATAACCCAGGGTTCCCTGAGAAGAAGAGAGTGTTTAATGTGGCCTGAACTGGTGGCTGGGGGAACTGTGTCTGGTCAAGATGGCAGATATCATAGCTTTAGGTAGGTAAGGTCCTAGATGAAAACTTGGGAGTCTTTTTTTTTTTCTCCTGATAGGATTGTTTATAGTTCTTGATTGGTTTCTTTTCACTTCCAGTGATGGTGGGTGTGCAGTAGACCAAAAGTATCTTCTGCCCTTTTGTGCTAAGGGCCCTGGTTGACTGAGTGGTTCCAGTCAGATGACAGGCAAGTCCTAAACTTATGGACAGGGATGCTGGCTTTGTTATGCTACAGCCTGATAAACTGGGATCACTGTGTGGTTAGTAATGCACTTGCCATTTGGTTACACAGACTGAAGGCTATCCCACACCTGGGCCTCACCTCTTCCTCTTCTGGCATCCTAATGGCACTCTGACAGCATCCAGGGTGACTATAGGGCCCAGTGGAAATGGATCACCACTCTCTCTTCTAGTCTCTACCTTTATCATAACCTGATGTCTCAAACTTGTGACCAGTTCTTTTGGCAGCCGAAGGACCAAGAAGGGAGAGGCTGAGGAGACAGACTGCCTGTTGTAACTTCCAAAACCCCATATGGGGAAAATAATCATCTAGGGTGACATTCCTTGAAATAAATCCCAAGAGAATCTAGGCCAAAGAGATGAGCCAAGGTTAGTGAGATAATTTATTGCCTAAACGGCAGAGCATTCTCTGCACAGCATAAAGGAGAAGTGGGGCAGCAGCAGGACATACAGAGAAACCAAACTGGGAAATATTACAATGAGTTGAAAAGATTAAGGTCCCAACCTGATGAGATTACATCCTTGAGACAATAAAGTGGAGCAACAGAACAATGGGGAGGAAGAGGACTGGGGAAGGAATCTTAAGAACCAGTTGGCTTCAGCTCTCTAGAGGAGTTGAGCCTATTCAGTGTCTAACCTGGAAGCCTGTGAGGGACAGGCCTCAGGCCCTTGCCATGACCTACTTAGGCTATGACTTCCTTCAAGGCAGCCCCTAGCTCTGGGAAGGAATACTGGTAGCCAGTGGCCAGTGTTCGCCGTGGGGTCACCTTCTGGCCTTCCAGCAACATGATGGCACGCTCTCGCCCAAAGACAGCTTGCACCACAGTGCTGGGGAGAGGGATAAAGGCTGGGCGGCCCAGGGCAGCACCCAAGGTCTGGGCAAACTCAGCATTAGTGGCAGAGGATGGAGCCACTCCATTCAGGACCCCGTGCACGTGGTTTGCTTCAAGAGCATGGGTCACAATTCCTGCCAGGTCCCCGATGTGTATCCAGGGGAAGAACTGTTGACCTGAGCCGATGGGGCCCCCGAGGCCCAGGCGAAAGGGCAGCAGCATGTGGCCGATGGCACCACCCCCACGGCCCAGCACAACCCCTAGAGCAGGCAAGAGGGAAGGTACAGGGGGGCCTCTCAGCCTTGAAGCAGCCCCACTGCTCCTCCTGGTCTGTTTCCCCTTCCTCACTCTCCCCATGCTGTCTCGGCTCTGTAACAGAGGTGGGCAGTATGGCTTTCTTTAATACTTTACACCTTCTCCTCTGCAGGTTGGCTAGAAGTGGTGGCATCCTTTCACTCTGTAATTGTAATCTCAGCTCTTCTGATCCCATCACTTCCCCAGCCCAGAGAAGACATTCCAACCCTGTCTGATACATACCCACGCCCCTGGTTCTCACCTGAGCGTACCACCACCTGGCGTGTACAATCTCCAGGAAGCCTGGCTGCAGCTTCCCATTTGGTTACAAGGTTGGAGAAAAAGTCAAAGTCCCCTCCTGGGCTGTCTTCATCATACTCCGCAGTCAGACTGGGCTGGTAGTAAGCTGCCGGTTGAACACACTCATTTGCCCTGGTGTCCTTGGTCCTGCCTGGCTCTCTGCTGTGGAGGTTCCCCTTGGCCTCACCTTCTTTGGCCCTTGGGTTCTCCCCATTTGGAGACAGAGCTATTTGAATATTTTCCCCTTGAGCTTCTCCATGACCTGAACTGTTCCTTCCCTGGAGGAACTCTTTGGTTGCAGGGCTAAACTTAGACGATGCTAGAGTGTAGCGGTTAAGAACAGGAACTTGGGTACCAGGCTGCCTGAGTTTAATCAGCTCCCTCATTTATTAACTCTGACTTCATGCAAATTACTTAACCTCTCTGTATAGAATTTTCACATCTTTAAAATGGGAATAATAGTACCTACCTCATAGGGTTGTTATAAGGAATAAATGATAATAAGTATAAAACACTACAAATAGTGGCTGGTGTGTGCATTATAATTGTTTGCAATTACTTGGTCCCAAAGGTGACTTAACAGCAACCAGGAACTCTGTTCCTAAAGAACTGTGGTGTGAGAAGTAAGGGACTGGGAATAGGTGGACTTTTCCCTGGCACTAAGAGTGATGCCACTCCCCACTCTTTTTCAGGGTCTAAATTTCTTAGTGAAAGTACACAAAGGTTAGGAGAAACATGCATGTATTAAGGGCCTAGGAAGTCATTTTGCCTGGAAAAGGCCAGTGCTCTGCTGTGTGCATAGCTACAGAGGTCTGAGTTACCCCCTCCCCCTGGCTAATATAAGGGGTTGGTGATTTGGGGGCATACCTACACCTGTGACTAAGACCCACACCTTGGGAGGTTGTGGGGCTTTGGTGATGGCTTTAGCCAGCAACTGGGTGGTCTCCAGGCGGCTGCTGAGAACCTCTTTTCGGAAGGTTTCGTTCCATCTGTAGAAGAAACATGGGAAATAAAAAGCCACTAAATACCTAGGTGCACATATCCCTCTCTCTGTCTTTTCCTGGGAGCTGTTTTATACCTATTTCTAGTAAAACCCTGAATTTTGGCTTAAGAGAAACAGTCGGGGTCTCCTGTAGAGGGAAAGGGCATACATTTCCTGGGCATCCTGAGTTGTATGTGAGGACTCAAGCCAACTGGCTGACTGAGTGGAGGAGCAGGTGGGCGTGGAGGAGTAGAGCAGAATGAGTAGTCTGGGATATAGGTTTAGTTCAGATCTGGCAGTTGCATTACCCATGGAGGTTCTCATCAGTCGGACACTCTCCTCCCTATGCTCTAGTGGGTATCAGCTTTAGGGCCGCTGACCTTCGGAGAGGGTTGAGGATGTTCTCTCCGGCCAGGTTGACGGCGGCATCGCAGCTCGGCAGCCCGGAAGTAGCGAGCTCATCCTGTCGGAGAAAGCACACAGTTCCCCTGCCCGGCCCTATGCCAACCAACTCTGCCTTGCCACCCCCGTCTAGAGGATGGGCGTACCCACGAGATCCGGCCGGGTCCGGGCTGTCGGGAGACGAACGTCACTTCGTGGCCCCTGGCATTCAGCAGCTTGGTTAGGGCTGTCCCAATGAAGCCTGTCCCGCCACCTGATCGGCAAACACAAATTGTTTATATTCCCGGGGAGTCAGGTGGCGGCGCCTTCCGTCCCCGCTGTGACCCCCTATTCCGGCGCCATCCCATCTGACACTAGACTTCTCCCCACCTCTCCCCCTCCCCGTGTTGCAGAGCTGACAGGTCACAGGGATTAGGGAGATTCGGCTTTTCTGGCTAGGAGGCCAAGGCAAGGTTGTCTGTGCACGACACAGTGCCCTCCCGGAAGCGGCTTCCCAACCCTCAATATCGGACTAATCCCGCCCCTCACTCTCCCTTTCTGCCTTCTCTCACCCACAAGCACACGCATAGCGACTAGGACCTAAAGCGCCTGCGCAAGGTTTAGAGTTTACCTCACTTCGGACGCGACTGCGACCTCTCTGCGCATGCCTTTTTTGGGAAGCGCGTTCCCATCGAGGTCTTCCTCTAGTGCTTGGCCCTTCTCGGCAACCCGGAAAAACTTGTCTGGCAAGTGAGGCGGGGAGGCGCGCAGTGGGAGGGATTAATGGACCCGGAAAGGGCACAGGAGGGAAGAGTTTAGTGTAAAAAGCCAACCAAAGCAAACCTAAACCAACAAAAGCCTTCATCTAAAACCCAAAGCTACCCAGACTGCAGAATTCTGGATGTCTATTAAGTTGTCGGGTCAGTAATGCAAGAGAGCCCTTCCACCGGTAATCTGGATTTCTTTTCGCTAGGCCAGTTTTTTCTTTTCCCTCTTCACGCTGCCTCCTAACAGCATTTAAACATTCCAAAGTTCTCCTCATATTAAAATAACCCTTCTCCAGACCTTTTATCCTCCAGCTACTATTTTTTTTTTTTGACTTCATAGCCAAACTTCCCAAACGTGTGCTTTCCATTTTCTATTTCTTATTTCACTCCCATGGGGTTTGTGCCTTTATCATTCATTTCCTCACTCTCCAGAAACAAAAGTTTCCCATGTGTCACCAAATCCGATGCCTAGTTTTCAGCTAGTTTTCTTGACCTTTCAGTATCATTGGGCATCTGCTGATTTCTTCCTCTCTTTGAAAATGTTTGGCCTTAGTGAAAGACGCTCTCTTCTGGGTTTCTCTTAGCTTTTTTCAGTCTCTGATGCTCGCTTTACCTCTGCTAAGTTCTCAAAACATGGGTATTCCTTAGAGCTGGGTCCTAGGACCTTCTCTTCCCACTCTGCACTTTTCCCTAGGCATCTATGCCTTGAATTCAGTTACCAGTCTTTTACAGAAGACATATACAACTCAGATCTCTGAGTCCCTAATCCCTATAACAACTTCTTATTACACACCTAGTTTTGGATGTCTGAAACCCTGTTGATTTTAAATACTGAATCTCTCCCAGATTTATCTAAGAGGGGTCTTTGAAAAGTTCATGGAACTGCCTCGTGGCACCTGCCCCCTTCTGCGCGGTCACACTGAGCTAACGCCTGAGCCTGGAAGCAGGCGGCAGACCCTCAGCTTCGCCTACCGCCTCCCTACCATGGAACCCTGCAAAGTGAACGAGGTTTGCGCCTTTGTGAAGATGTGTAAGTGGCATCCAAGCGTTCTGCACACTGAGGAAATGCGCTTCCTGAGGGATTGGGTGGAGAGTATGGGGGCTAAAATACCACCTGCTACTCAGAAAGCTAAATCAGAAGAAAATACCAAGGAAGAAAAACCTGATAGTAAGAAGGTGGAGGAAGACTTAAAGGCAGATGAACCATCAAGTGAGGAAAGTGATCTAGAAATTGATAATGAAGGTGTGATTGAGTCAGACACTGATGCCCCTCGAGAAATGGGAGATGAAAATGCAGAGATAACAGAGGTGATGATGGAACAGGCAACTGATAAGAAAGTGGCTGCTATTGAAGCCCTAAAGATGATGAATTGCTGAAAGCCATTGACTTATTCACAGGTGCCATCAGGTTGAATCCTCGCTTGGCCATTTTGTATGCCAAGAAGGCCAGTGTCTTCGTCAAATTATGGAAGCCAAATGCTGCCATCTGAGACTGTGACAGAGCCATTGAAATAAATCCTGATTCAGCTCAGCCTTATAAGTGGCAAGGGAAAGCACACAGACTTGTAGGCCACTGGGAGGAAGCAGCCCATGATCTTGCCCTTGCCTGTAAATTGGATTATGATGAAGATGTGAGTGCAATGCTGAAAGAAGTTCAACCTAGGGCACAGAAAATCGCAGAACATCAGAGAAAGTATGAGCAAAAACGTGAAAAGTGAGAGATCAAAGAAAGAACAGAAAGTTAAGAAGGCTTGAGAAGAGCATGAGTGAGCCCAGAGGGAGGAAGAAGCCAGATGACAGTCAGGAGCTCAGTATGGCTCTTTTCCAGGTGGTTTTCCTGGGGGAATGCCTGGTGGTTTTCCCAGATGAATGCCTGGAATGGGAGGGGGCATGCCTGGAATGGCCAGAATGCCTGGACTCAATGAAATTCTTAGTGATCCAGAGGTTCTTGCAGCAATGCAGGATCCAGAAGTTTTGGTGGCCTTCCAGGATGTGCCTCAGAACCCAGCAAATATGTCAAAATACAGAGCAACCCAAAGGTTATGAGTCTTATCAGCAAATAGTCAGCCAAATTTGAAGGTCAAGTGTAATGCCCTTCTGATAAATAAAGCCTTTGCTGAAGGAAAAGAAACCTAGATCACCTTATGGATGTCACAATAATAAAAGTAGTGTACCTCTGACCTTCTCATCAAGAGGGCTGGGGTGCTTTGAAAATAATCCCTATTCCACTCCCCTAAATGCAGCTGAAGCATTTTACAGTGGTTTGCCGTTAGGGTATTCATTCAGATAATGTTTTCCTACTAGGAATTACAAACTTTAAATATGTTTTAACCTTAAAAATATTTAAAACAAATTTAAAGTGTCTGTTAATTCTTACATTTTTCTTTACTAATCATTTTTGATTTTTTTTCTTTGAATTGTTGTGCAGGGAAGATAATGTATAGAAGATTTTTGCTCTAATTTGAGTGAAATAAAAATTTATTAGTGTGAGGCAAACATAACTGATTTGAGGATAAAGTTTTTGTTGGATATGTGGTTCCTGAAGCATTTTGACTTGTCTTTTTAAACCCGTTATCTTTTTCTTTAAAGATTTATTTCAGTAAAACTAATTGGGGCCACCAGTATTTCAGTAGGACCTGGGTAGGAACTGGAAGTATTTGGCAGGGCAGCAGCAATCTTGCTGTGTTTTATATAACATGCATCCTTGGGTGGGTTGCCCTTAAATGTTACACTGTGGTGAAGGGATGATTATTTTATAATGCTGCAGTAGAGTTGGAGTACTTAGGTCTGTTCTTGTCTAGTATTTCTAATAAATGTATCGTATTATTTCCACATAGGGGAAATAAGGGAATACTTTTCCTTTTATATTTCTATGCTTAAAATTCTCTTTCCTTGTCAAAAAATGCCCAGCTCTGTGTCTGCTTTCTATGTTTTTCTCCCTTACTTTTCTTGGGCTAAAGACAGGCTTTTTCTGCCAGTATTATCACTGCTATCATCATTAACAGCATAATTATACAAGCATATTTAATGCTGAGTTTAATTTAATATGTAATGCATATGGTAATTGTAGGGTAATATCCACAACAACTATAGTTTCTTACTTGGCCATAAGAATGCTTATTTAGGCATTCTGGTAAAATCATGTCATATCAAAAGACATTGGAAAGAGGGATTCCCTTTGGTGTTTGGTCTTCCACTTAGAAAATACCTGTTGCAGATAGAGTTTATCTTGTAGTATTCATCTTTGTATTTTGAAGATAATAAGGTTTGATTTAAATTGATCTACACAGAGGGGAACCAATTTTTTTGATCCAATGTAAATTATAAATGAGATAATTCACAGTTATTCACTGTGGAGTTGTTGAGACTGTGAAAGACTCATTGTCTTTGTATTCAGCTCTTCCTTAAATAGTGAAACCCTACCCCTACCTCTGCTTGCTTTCTTTCCCTCCCCTCCCATGATAAAATAAATTTTCTGTTGTGCATTCAATTCTTTTTTTTTTTTTTTTTTTTTTTTT